TATATATATGTATATATAGATTTCCTTATGCGTGTCTAATGGACATCTCTATTAAAATAAATATCTACGCGGAGACGAAGTAGTAAAAGACAAAACGCAAAAATAAAACAAAAAATAAAATATTTTGATTGTCTATGCAAAGAAGAAGCAATATAAAATATATCTATATATATATATATAACTATATATATAAATATATATATATATATATTAATATATATATATATATATGATCCTCTTCTTCTGCAAGTGCTATTAAACAATAAAGGTTTTCTACTGCATGCGTTGAATGCAGAAACAAATAAACAATTTATTAAAAAACAAACAAAACAATCTTTAGAAGACTGAGGGCCCCACTTTGCTGTCATCCAGCCCCAACCGAGCTCTCTATAAATCATTCTTCCCTCTAATGCATGCATGCATGCATGCATTAGCGTCTGAGTAAATGCATGCATGCATGCATGCATGCATGCATGCGTGTTTGGGGCTTGATTAGTGTCTTCTTCGCTGCAAGAAGGGGGCTATTAAGTAGAAGTTATATGCTTAAAGCTCTGCTTGCTGCGCTCCTTGTGTATCTGTCTCTGCTTTTTGTGTCTCTTCTGTTGCTGCTGACTGCCACATCGGCTGCTGCTGCTGCTGCTGCTGCTGGCTGTCTCCTTCTAAAGAAGCAGTTGATCCCCAAGGAGACACAACTGGGTCTAGGTCTGTGGCCGCTGTTACATAGCTGCTGCTGGTGCTGGTGCTGCTGCTGCTGCTGCTTCTGCTTCTGCTGCTGCTGCTGCTGCTGCTGCTGCTAGGTGCTGCAGTTGAAGGAACCCAGTGAGAGCTCGCCTGAATTGTAGCCTCTAATTTATTTTCTTCTTCCCAAGTCGGGGAGACAACAGCGAGAAGGTCTTTCATAACATTTCCTAAAAAACAAACGCAAACAAACAGCAGCAGAAGCACTATATATTGTCAAACAAAAAGCTAAGACTGACTACCGCTACAGCAGCAGCAGCAGCAGCCGATGTAAGAGAAACAGCAACAGAAGCAACAGCAATAGCTTTAACAGTAACAGCAGCAGCAACCGCAGCAACAGTAACAGCAGCAGCAGCAGCAACAGTAACAGCAGCAGCAGCAATAGCAGCAATAGCAGCAACAGCAGCAGCAGCAGCAGCAGAAGAGTCGTACTGAATAGAGGAACAGCAGTTTCTGGGTTGCAGATCTCCATGAGCAGAGGCCTCTGTTGCATTTGTTTATCTGCTGCTTTAAGCAGATATTTAGCGAGTGTATGCCCGTCTAAATTAGAATTAAAGAGAAGAACAGCAAGCTCAGATGTCTGACCTCTGCTGCATGCATGAAGTAGGCCGGAGACATGCATAGCAGCACAAAGCCCCGCAACATGTGTCTCTCCTTTTAGCTGTCTCCTTTTGCTTTTGTTCTCGAGCAAATGCTGCTCACCAACGCCTCTAAAGGCCTCCATCAACCCTCGAGGAGACACTAAGGAGACAGCTAAACTATTCGCTATGCCTCCATATAAAGACATCGCTTTTCTGCGAGATCCAGATGCGCTTTCTGCTGCTGCTGTCGCGACAGCACCTCCCGCGCGGACTGCAATAAAAATAAATAAATAAATAAATAAATAAATAAATAAATAGATATATCTATATATGTCTGTACATGTATGTATATATAAATATATTAAATATTTGCATGCATATATATATGCGTGCATACATAAATATATTCATATAGACATAACTGCATATCTATATATATATATGCATAGAAGGTAGGTGCAGCAGAAAGACGAGGAAAAGAGACATGCAAAATAATGAATCCAATGAAGGCGACAGAAAGAGACAGAGAGAGAGACAGAAGAGGAGACACCAAAGCAATAATCAAGAAGATAAAACAAAAAAATAAATAAAACAGAGACAACACATTGCATAATTAATTAATTAATTAATTTATTTATTTATTTATTTATTTGTACGCACTTAGTTCTGCGCATTGCTTCAGGTCTGAGCCTGAAGAAGAAAAGACAGAGACAAACAGCAGTCAGACAGGAGACACCGCAATAAACCTTTGCTCTTCTTCTCACTACCTTACATATATAAAACATATAAATATATACATATATATAGATGTATATATATATATATATGTACATCTATATATATTTGTATATAAATATATATATATATATATACATATATATATATCCATACCATCTATATATTTGTATATATATATATATATATATATACATATATATTCATGTACATACATCAACAATACATATATATATATATATATATACATGCATATATAATGCATGCATGCATGCATGCATGCATGCAAGTAAAAGAATAGTATAAAATTTACTTTTGGCGAATGCTTTGACGGCTTTGACAGCTTGTTGATATTGTTTTTCGTCTTGAGTTTGTTCTGCTGCTACTGAAGAGTAAGGGACTAGAAGATATTTATGTAAATGAAGCAGCCTATCGATTAAAGCAGCATGTGCTGCAGCACCTGAAGGATACTCTATACGACCCGCTTCAAGAAGCTGCTGCCAAGCTGCTGTAAATACACCGAGGGCCCCACACACTGCAGCAAACTGAGGAGTACTGCTGCTGCCTGCCTGCAGCAGCAAAGCAGGTGTGCTGCTAGCCAGACGCAGCAAAACATCTCCTGAAGATCTACTCATATCTATTTGCTTTGAATTAAATACAGGAGAAGGAGACACAGGGCAGTCGTCTGCACAAACAAAACACAAAAATATATATACATAATTTTTAATACATTATGTATTTTAGGGCAGTCAGAGGATATTATTACTTATGTATATGAGTATTAATAAATATATAAATAGATATATATATATATAGGTATATATTTATGTATATATATATGTGTAATATATATATAATGCATACACATTTAAACATGTATTAATCTACATATATATATATATATATCATATATACGTATATCTATATAATGGATGTAATATATAGATGCATATAAACAGAGTATTGAAGTAAACAATAACCAAATTCACCCAGAGAGAATAGTAAGAAACAGCAACAACAGTAGCAACAGAAGCAGCAACTGCAACTGCAGCAGCCGCAGCAGCGACAGCAGCAGCAGTAACAGCGACAGCAGCAGCAGCAACAGCGACAGCAGCAGCAGCAACAGACCGGAGAGCTCAACCCATCTTGGAAGTCGCATGATAGGGCCTGAGGTAAACGCAAATGAAGCAAAAAACTTAATAAATATGTAAACATAAATATTAATATATAAGCATAAACATAAATATAAATATATATATATATATATATATATGTGAATATATATATAGGTATCTATGTGTTTAATGCATAGGTATGATAAGATAAACAATTTTATCTCTCGTATGCATATGTCTAACTGTCTGGCTATATATATATACATAAATGCATATATATACATATGCATATATGTATAAATGTATACACGCATATATATATATATGCATATAGATATAAATGCATATATATATATATACACATATATATATACTTATATATATATATATACACATATATATATATATATATATATATGATATATAATGCACAAAATGAGCAATTACCGTGTCTCTTAGAGATGGCTTGTTGAAACTGTTCCCAAGGCATTTGAGAGGTCATGAGTTCATATTGAAGTTCTTCAGGTACCCTCGGGGGCCCCCCTAACATTTGTTCATAAGTAGCTTCTTCAGGCTGAGGTGGGGAGACACCCGCACCCATTGAAGTATATAATACTTCTACTGCTCTACTCTTCGGAGGGGCCCCTGCTCTCTGCATTCTGCTGTAAAGAGTCTCTCCAGGTGCTGCACCTCTCATCTCTTCATACACCCCTTCAGCAGCAGCAGGAGCAGCAGGAGCAGCAGCAGCAGCAGCACTTGCTCCTGTTGCAGTGATAATAGATTTTCTTAGTGAAGCGGGGATTGAAGGAAATGATTTTATTATTGTCTCTCCTATCTGAGGGCTTTCACTTCCAGCAGCAGATGAAGCCCAAGCCATCATCTGAGGATTTGTTAACAACTGAGAGGCTGAAGACACAAACATATTATTCATAACAACAAATTAACTAAGAAATCCATGCATGCATATGCATGCATGCATATGCATGCATGCACACCCTTTACATTCATGCATGCATGCACATAGATGCATGCATGCATGCATATGGATGCATATGCATGCACATAGATGCATGCATGCATTCATGCATGCTTAGAGACACATAGATGCACGCATGCATGCATGCACATGCATAGAGAGTATTTGAGGAGGTGTACGTACACTGTAATGTCTGGAGAAAGATTTTTGCTTCGTCTTCATCTTTAAGAGTCTCTTTGTCTTCTGGCCAGCCAGCCAGTCGCATGCATAATTTAAACTGTTCAGGAGATGTGTAGCGAAGACGAAGAAAGAGAGATAGAAGAGATTCACCCATCTGCAGTCTTGCTTCTGTTAGAACAACAAGACAAAATGTTAAAGAAAGAAATATAAAATGCAAGACATGCAGAGACAGATTAGGATAGTAGAATAAGGAGACAGGAGACAATATAAAGAAATAAAGAGACAGAAGACAATATAATAGAATAAGGAGACAGGGGACAAAATAGAAGAAGGAGACAGAAGACTAGATAATAGAATAAGGAGACAGTAAATAAGATAGAGGAGCAAGTAGCGAGGAGACAAGGAAGCAATAAGGAGACAGGAGACAAGACAAATGAAGAAGAGACAGTGGGTTATTTAAAGTTTGCTGTTTGCTGCTGCTGTCTTGCTGCTGCACCTGTTGGAGCCGTTGGCTGCCCCAGCTGCTGCAGCCACGCATCCATTGCTGCACACATCAACACAAAAAGGAGACAGCAAAAGAATTAAAAGGAGACAGAAAAAAAAGATACAAAAGGAGACAGAAAAAGAATAATAAGGAGACAGAAAAACATAGGCAATGTCTCCTTTTCTATGGAGACACCTCAACTGTCTCCTTTTCTGAGGGAGGAGACGCCTGCCTCCTTTCTTTTCTTTAAAAGGAGACAGTTTAATTGTTATTATTTGCTGCTCACCATCTAAACGCCCAGGGGGCAGTACGACAGCTCCGAGGCCCATAGCTGAGAGCAGCAGCAGCAGCAAAACAACAACAAAGGAGACATTTATCTTTTTGCTTTTTCACTTCGTTTATAGCTGCGCATTTTAACTTTGTTTCTAGATGCGCATCAGCAGACAGATGTACATGCATATACATACATATATATATATATATATCTTTTTATATATCCGCATATGTAAGTATAATATATTATATATATATATATGTATACACTGAGTACATACATACATGTAAATATTTATGTCTAGATTACTGCGCATATATATGCATATATGCATATATACATATATATATATATATATGTATATATATATATATATATATACATATAGATTTATGTATATACGAATATATATATGTATATTTGTTCTAAGTGAGGTGAGACAGAAAATGAAAGAAGAGGAGACAGATAATAAACAAAGAGGAGACAGATAATAAACAAAGAGGAGACAGAAAATAAAAGGAGACAGACACTAAGAGGAGACAGACAATAAGAGGAGACAGACAATAAAAGGAGACAGACAATAAAAGGAGACAGACAATAAAAGGAGACAGACAATAAAAGGAGACAGAAGGTTTTTGCTGCTTACCCTCAGAAAAGAAGCTCTGCCTCGCGTAGGCCTTCCAGTCGCCTTGGGCGGGCCTTCCGCTTGCTTCGCTCGTAGGGATTTCTAAAAGGAGACACCAGAAGGAGACACTGCAACAGCAGCAACTGCAGCAACTGCAGCAGATGCGCCTTGAGCCCTGGCTAGCTAGCTGTATGGGGGCTACAGAATAGCTAGCTAGCTAGTAAGCTAGCTGTGGGAGGGCTCTGTAGGTAGCTATCTAGCTGTAGGATGAAAGGCTATCAGTATGAGTTCTTGCTGGCTAGCCAACTAGCTGTACGAGTCCTCGGTAGCTAGCTAGCTAGCTAGCTAGCTAGGTGCAAGACGGTTAGCTCAGTGTTTGAGGGTTCGTTATGCAGCTAACTATCTAGATAACTAGCTATATGGCTAGCTACCCAGATAGCTAGCTAGCTAGCCAGCTAGCTAGACAGATAGACGGATAGAGATTGAATGTACCTGCAATGATGATTTGCAGAGCGCGTTGCTGTCCCTTGAGCGCTCCTCTTAGAATCATGTGGCAGTGCTGTCTCCTTACATCAATATTGCCTCTGTCTCCGCAGTAGTTGCCTAATACTTGGTGCGTTACTCTCTGAGCCTCAGCGAAGATCGTCTCCCGCCCCACAAAGCGATCCCAGGCAGGGTGTTGCATGCGCTGCTCAAAAGCCTTCATCACTAATAAAGCATATTGCTGTACTTCTTCTACGCGAGGAGCAAAGAAAGGAGTTATTAGAGACAATGAATCTGCTGGTTCTTTATTAGGGCCTTCAAACTTTAAAACAACATTGAGCTGCCATGCATGCACAGCAGACTCAGGAAGCCCTGCAACCAAGCAAACAAGCATACATCACAAACCCTATTGCTGCTGCTCTTCCTGTTGCTGCTGCTGCTGCTGCTGCTGCTGCTGCTGCTGGTTATGCTGGTGCTCTTGATGTTGTTGGTGGTGGTGGTGGCTTTTGCAGCTGCTGCTGACAAGCTGCTGTTGCTGTTGCTGCAGGTGTTTCGTGTAGGTCTAATGCTGTTGCTCCTACTGCTGCTGCTGCTGTTACAGCTGCTGCTGCTGCTGCTGCTTATACTGCTGCTGCTTATATGGGAGACTAACCTGGTATAAGGGTCTTTAAGGCGAGGCGATCGGAGGCCTCTATAAGAGCAAAGAGAGCTGTCTTCATATCGCTTAGCTCCGCTAAACAAACAAAACACAAAACCAATAAACGCATGCAGTCAGTATGCATGCATGCATGCATGCATGCATGCATGCGTTAGATAGTTTCTTGCTACTGCCGGAGATGCGGGGGACTTCTTGGGGCTGCTCATGCATCGAAAAGGATTAAAAGAAAGCTCCAGAGCCTTGAGGTGTATCTGCAGGTGCAGTTGCAGGAGACCTACTTCTTTTGGTGTTGAGTCTGCGCCTCAGGTCCATGCCTATACCTGCATTTGAACGCAAAACAAACAAAACCCTAAACCCTAAACCCTAAACCCTTGGCTCAGCAGGTAGCATGAAGTGTCTCCTTTTGCGGCGTTTGCAAGCGAGTGAAGACGAGCTGTCTCCAGTGCGTTTTTCTGTCTCTGTCTTTGTTTGTCCCATCACTTATCTCTGTCTTTGTCTCTGCTTCTGTTTAACTCTGCCTATATATGCCTGTCTCTGTCTCATCGTCGCTATACATCTCTGTCTCTGTCTCCGTCTCCTTTTTCTGTCTCTTTCTGTCTCTTTTTCTCTCTTGCTGTCTCTCCTTTCTGTTTTGTCTCTCTTTGCTTCGTTTGTTATATATATGTATATATATATATATATATAAATACATATATATATAAATATATATACATATATATATAAATATATATATGCTTTTTGTGCCTGTCTGCTTTTTATCTCTTTGTTTATTTTTCTCTCCGTTTTATATCTCTTTGTCTGTCTCTCTGTCTATCACTTTGTCTGTCTCCTTTCTCTGTTCCGTCTCTCTTTTTGTCTCTCTCTGTCTGTCTCTCTTTGTCTGTCTCTCTTTGTCTGTCTCTCTTTTTCTGTCTCTCTTTGTCTTACTCTCAGGGGGAGTTAAGTCAATCGCAGCCAACAGCTCCAGGGCATCCGCGTACTCTCGAGCTGCGCAGCAGCAGCAGCAGCAACAACCACAGCAGCATTAGCAACAGCAGCAGCAGCAGCCAAGGCAGCAAATGCATGCAGCCCCATCACACCGAGACGAAGAAGAGGAAGCAAAACTTTCACCGCATTCTTCATTCAAACATATATACCTTTTTCATACATCAGCATGCTTTTATATAAATGCATGTATACATATTTATTTAATCATATACATATATATATATGCATATATATATATGTATATATATATATATATATATACATATATATATATATGTATATGCATATATATATGCATACGAACTTCACTGTCTGTGCGTCTGTGTGTGTGATGTTTTTTGTCTTCCTTGTATGTTTATACCTCTATGCATATATATATAAATATATAAGCAAATATAAGCATAAACGCATATATATATATATATATATACATGTGTGTTTGTGCATCTATGCATATACAAATAAATAAACAAATCTATACATGCATCTGAATATATATATGTATATATATATATATTATAGATATATTATATATTATATATATTATGTATTATATACATATTATAGATATATTATATATGTTATATATATTATATATATACTATAGATATATATTATATTATATATATATATATATATATTATCTGCCTTACTGGGGGCGCTGACGGGTTCTGCTGCGAGAAGTTGGCGAGCCAATTTATCCTCTGTAAAAAAATGCATGCAAAGAAAGCCCCAAATATTTGCATGCATGCACTCTGTCCCCTTCATCAACAGCAGCAGCAGCAGCAGCAGCAGCATTCGAAGGAGACACCGCTTCTTCTCTTATTACTCAAAGCAGACTGTCTCCTTTTACTGTCTCTTCTCCTTCGTAGTGAAGCTAAATGTGAACAAACTGTCTCCTTATGCTTTTTATTTACTTATTTAGAGGAGACTGTCTCCTTTTTATTCAAAGGGGACACTGTCTCCTTTTATTCATTTGTTTAGAGGAGACAATCTGCTTTAATTTTATTTATTTTTATTTATTTTTGTTTCTTACCAGGCGACAATCCTTCTTCTGCTGCTCTCGTCGGCCTTGATGGTGGTGCCTCAGGTGTCTCTGCAGCTCCTGGTGTCTCTGCAGCTCCAGCTGCTCCTGGTGCTGCTGCTGCTGTTGCTGTGAGCTCTGGCCCTGCTGCTGCTTCCGTTGGGGTAGGGGCTGCTTCTGCTGCTGCTGCTGCTGGTGCTGCAGGTTCTGGAGCAGCAGCAGCAGCTGCTGCTGGCTGCTCTGGAGGTGGTGGTGGTGCTGCTGCCCCTGCTTCTCCTTCAGGGGTTTCTTCTGTCTCTTCTTCTGCTGCAGTTGTCTCTTCTGGTGCAGCAGCAGCAGCAGCAGCAGCAGGAGCTGCTGCTCCACTGAGGGACGCCATATCGACAGCATCTACATCTCTGAAATCTGCAAAGGAGATTTGCTGCTGCTCGTCTGCATCTGCTGCTGCACATAGAAAGCAAAAGAGACAAAGGAGACAGATATAAAGATAGAAAGCAGACAGATGTACAGAGAAAAGGAGACAGATATACAAATATACAGAGACAAAGGAGACAGATATAAAGTTAGAAAGGAGACAGATATAAAGATAGATAGGAGACAGATATACAGACAGATAACAAAGAGACAGAGGAGACAGATCTACAGATGTAGATAGCAATACGAGAGAAAGGAGACAGATATACAGATGCATAGACAGACAGCAACAGAGACAGACGGGCGTAGAATAAAGAGATAAAAGAGACAGCAGCATAAATGCAGAATAAAGAGACAAAGAAGAGACACTTGGTTAAGCGGCTAGGCCTTGGTGTACATACACTGCAAAGTGTTTAATACATCACAATCATTAGATCTGTATATTTTGAGTTAAAGAGCTATAAATAAAGAGACAAGTTTATAGGGTTTATAACAAAGAAAGAGAGACAAAGCGCTCACCTTCAAGTATTTCTTGAAAAGGAGACAGCTCAGCTGAGCCAGCGATACCCCCAGCAGCAGCAACAGCAGCAAAGATTAAGAGAGCCCCCAGGGCGAAGGGCTTTGTGCAGTTATTTCTCATTATAAATAAATAAAGAGTTTATCTTTAATTAAATATAAATAAAAGCGCAAACAAACAACAATAATATAAGAGAGGCAGCAAAAGGCTTACTACAGGCCGACTGCAGCACTGAAGAACAGCCGAAGGAGACACCCGAGACAGAGACAAACAGCAGCAACAGCAGCAAAGTAAAGAGAGGCAGTACACAACAGCTTTAATAGAGCAACAAGTAAGCTTTTATCACAAATAATACATTAAACAAACAAACAAATCAAACACCAACAACAACAAATGTGATGTACACAATCACAACAAGCCGCAGGCGCAGCGAGCAGCTCGCAGCTGCAAAACCGTTCTGCTGCTGCTGCTGCTGCTGCTGCTGCTGCTGCTGTCGGTGGCCTGTGTAGTTAGTCTGTTTTTTTGTTATTTTTTGTTTGATTTATTTGAAATTTAAATTTTAATTTAATATAATTCAATTTAATTTAATATTTACGTCAATTTTGCAGCAGTTTCAAGCTGCCTATACACCCCAATCGATTGAGCCCGCGCCACCGGCACCACCGCCGACACCAGCGAGCTACTCGCCTCTCTCTCTCTGAATATTTTCTTAGATAAACGCACAAATTTATTTATTTTAGCCTTATAAATTGATTAAATAATTAATTAATTAATTAAATTATTTATTTATTTATTTATTTCTTTATTCTACGTGCATTAAGGGGCCTATTATAAGGGTGCTCTGCATCGATTGCGTTTATTTCTGGGGTTGTCCTGCTGAGGTAAAAGGCTTAGACAAATAAAAAAAGAGTTTTAAAAAATAAATTAAGATATTAATAATAAGAATAAAGGAGACAAAACAAAAAAACAAAAGAAGAAAAAGTATTAATGAAAAAGAGACAGAAGAAAAGGAGACAGAAGAAGTAGCAAAGAAGACAGAAGGCATATTAAAAAGAAATCAGATAAAGATATTATTTAAAATAATAAATTAATTTTAATTGCATGCAGATAAGTAGAGGCTTCAACTGTACGTACAGATCTCCTAACGCCTTCTAAACCGAAGGCATTCAACGGGCGCCGAGTGTTTAGGGTTTAGGGTTTAGGGTTTAGGGTTTAGGGTTTAGGTTTCCTTAAAGATCAAAGTAGAATAGATTAGAAAGGAGACAATTCATAGCTCCGCCTGTCTCCTTACCTAATGTATAATATAATATTATAACCTTTGTTTGATTTGTTCATAATTATTTATAAGCATATAAATATTTGTAGATGCATCTATGCGGGTATGAAGAATATATATATATATATATATATATATGTATATATATAAGGCAATTAATACAGAGATACAA